CGTGATTTTATTAATTCTACGTTTATTTTAATAAATCTTCAACTCCAATCAAGAATTTGTTTTAGTGACTTTGATTTATCTTCGTTTTCTACACTTCAAGAACTAAAGTTATACTTTAACATTTTCTGAGTCGGTACTAAGCGGGGCGGCTTTGGCCACCGGGCCGTCTCGCCGTCTCGCCGTGGATCGCTTCACAAAGAAAGCGGACAAAATATACAGTTCCTCAGGTAGATAAAGGAACATCCCTTCACTGCTATTATGTAAAAAGTGAATATGCATGTGACACTGTTCTACACATTTTTACATAATAGCAGTGAAGGGATGTTCCTATGTCTACCTGAGGAACTGTATATTTTGTCCGCTTTCTTTGTCAGTCATGTTCGTAGTGTGTATACGTGAATGTATTTGGAATGTTTATTTCACGATCGAATGTTAATAGGCAATTTTCGTAATGTAACCAAATCTAATGCATAAGTCTTTGTGAAGTGCCTCAATACAAGTTATTTCATTCACCTGATAAGAATAATAGTATTTCAATAGTCAGAATGCAAACTGCATATATTAAGTGTTGCTAGGTAGGTCAAGCCACAATGTTTGTCCAACCTGGCAACAACTAATGTATGCAGTTCGGTTTCTGTCTATTGAAATACTATTATTCTTTGCAGGTGAATGAAATAATATGTATTGAGGCACGGGGGCTCTTCCTCCGAAAAAAGAGCCCCCGTAAGCCTTCTCACGGGGGCTCTTTTATTACTGACGGGGGCTCTTTTTTATACAAATATCCATTGAGTTGGTACCTATGATACTCCTCAATTATTTGCTATTTCATCATTATCATTTCAATCAGCATTTTCCCTCTTACAAATTAACAAGCTACATAGCTGTTACTGGCCTGTGTATATAATATATACGCATACAACACTGATCTTTATGATGTCTTTAACGTGACATATCTTCTTCTCCCCTTGCAAACGAAAACGAAAACATGGTCATTAAAAGGGATTAAGCGACAAATAATGATTGTGATTCAAATTGATGCGAATATTTGTTTGAATAAGCACTATTATTCACCCGAATCATTTTTGTAAAAACAACTTTTAAAAATCTCAGCCATGCTTACTGAGTTGAGACGTTCCATTCAATTTAAAATACCCATTACATAATACACTTCTCCTAATCTCAAAGTGATCTTACAGCACAATGGCAGAATTGCATGGCTGAGATTTGTAAAAGTCGTTTTTACAAAGAAGATTCTGGTGAAAAGCATTGCATATTCAAAAAAATCCTTGCATCAATATGAATCACAATGATTATTTGTCGCATGGTCCTTTTATTAAATAACCTTGTTTTCTGTTTTGTTTGCAGAGGGAGAAGAAGCTATGTCACGTTAAGAAATCATAAAGATCAGTTGTATTATGCGTATATACATATGATACCAGAACAAATGTTGATTATCAGAATGTCATTTTGGAATACCTCTATACAAATACCACATTGTCTTTAGCCCGTATTAGTATTAGTATGATCCAATATAAAGCTATTATTCTCTATTTAATTCAGTATAATGCTTTTCCTCAAAAATAGTTTTGCTATTTTTTTAGGGTTGAGACGCTAAGAAATGGTTTCAAATGTACATTACACGAACCCTGAACCATTGCAAAATGATGGTGGTTCTCTCTCTCTCTCTCTTTATTTTAATCATGCATTATCAACTACATATAAAGCAGCAACCAAAAACTTAGGGTTATCTGAGATAGGTGAAAGTAAGAGTTAAAAAGAAAGTCATGCTAAAACGGCGCTTCACTTCCCCCCGCCCCCTGAAAAAAATAAAATAGATTAGTAGTCCTCCTCTCCAGAATCCCCCTCCCCCCGCTTTAATATCACATTTTCACTTGGCAGCCCAAGGGGGGCGGGGGGGGGGGGTGGGAGGAGGGGGTTAAATCCCCTACCCCCCCCCCCCCCCCCGTAGATCTGCCCATGTTATCATATCATTCCACGCAGGGGTGGCGATCCAGAAGATCCAAAAGAATTAAACAACTTGTTCGATTTGTTTTGAAGCATTATCTTCAAAAACCCGGACAGCTTAAAAATAACGTCTATAATCACTCTGAGATGGCTTATAATACCAATACGAATTGCATAATGCAACGTCTAGACATAAAGATCGAATCTCAACTTTATTTTTCTTATTCTTCTTTTACATTTCGAAGCGTTGCATGGGATCTTAATCCTGTTTTTTCTACATACTTCAATGCCCCCATTTAAGCATACTTTGAATCTTGGTCACGCTTCGAAAAGTGCGTGGCCTAGCATTTCGTTTCTGTTGATGATCAATTAAATATCAAGGGATGGATTAGAGTTTATTTCAAAAAATGAAATGAAAGGGCTATTTTACTTTCAAGATTCCTTTCATTTCATTTTAGAGAAAACCTCTCCTTCTCTCTTACATTGTTATGTAACAAGTCAAATTTGACCCCATTTAAAACTCAATGATCTATTACATTAAATTAATCATTAAGAATCATTAAAAATAATCGATGAATAATAAAGAAGTATTTTGATATTTGCACTAACCTAGACAATTTTGCTTGAATTTTTAAACTTTGAAACGCTATTATTACGACTACTGATATCATAGCTTATTTAGGAGCGCTAAAAACAAAAGTACCATAGCTCTTACAAAATCGCAGAATTCGAAGAGAAACTTAAAATGTCTACGTGATCAATAGACCAGTTCGCGGTTAGCACCTTACTGCAATGACCCCGAGTATCCACAGATCTTCAAAACATGAAGAGGTCCCAAATTGTACATTTTGAAAAAAAATCACTCCTACAGTGATGGATGTGCTATATAAATAGCCTTTGTTCCCCCTTTTCAAAGAATACCTCCACCTGTGTACCATGGATTGCACTGAATGGGCATGAATGAATAATGTTACATAACTTTCATGAGCACGTATCCAGTATTTCGTCTGCGTGGGTTTCAAAATTTGTTCTGCAATTACCTTTATCTGCTCATGCTCAGACTGCAACCGTGAATAAATTTCAGCGATGGCACTCTCTTTTTAACATATATTGGCACACAAAATGCTGAACTTAGCTCATGCTACAATCATAATTATAAACATTAAGTTCAGTCAGGAATCACATGACGTGTACAAGAGTAGGCGCGGATCCACGGGGTGGGGGGGGGGGCGACGGGCCCGCTCCCCCTCCCCCACAGGCAATAATAATAACAATAATAATAAAATAATAAATTAATTTTTAAAAATTGCTTTATTCACCGGCTGGCTGAGTCGGCGCTAAATATTTTCTCACGAATTAGCCTTCCCCCCCCCCCCCCCCCCTCTTGCCGCCGGGTGGATCCGCCACTGTGTAAGTCCCCTCCTATGGGAAATTTGATGATCTTAACACGCAAGGGGAACTCGCACCACGAAGAATATATAGACAATTTTATAGTGTTTCTCTTAATGGGCCTACTAGATTAATTGGTTTGACTAAATAAATCAGTAATATCATTTAAAACAAAATTTAATGAAAGTTATATTTCGTCTTCAATAATCGTTATAGGCAATGTGAAATTAATAAATATAATATTCCTTAATTCAGCCTAATCAATGCTTGACTAAATAAATTTAAATTATAGTTTGCTTTATTTTAAATAGTGAAGGACTTTAATATGCCTACTAGTACTAGATAAACTGGCTTGACTAAATAACGTAATAATCCATTAAACGCGCTTTGTTGGTAATAATTTTGGAAGTTAGGAAATGTTTTTTCAGAGTAAAAAGTCCCGGTAAAAAGTGTCCGTGGATCCGAGTCCCTGGGGACTTAGATCACGATAATGCCGATAATACTTTACCGATGACCAGATTCCAAGTAAAGTTTACTATAAAGAACCAAATCCGACATTCAGAAATGATTTTCGGTAACTGATGTGTCAGATGTGATCATTCATAAATGAAAGGCCAGCACACAAATAAATTACAGTTCCTCTCTCAGCTGTCTTTATGCTCATGTGACCTTTGGAAAAGTGCGTTCCCGATTTCGGCGCATGCGCAATGTGCAATTACGAACTCGCTTATTGATAAAACAACATCATAATCAGATTATCCGACCCCGAAAACCCCATGAATTCATCAACTTTATCATACTAGTCCTTTTCCTTTTGAAACTACGCTTGACCTTTACCTCGGATGGCGGCATCTTTTTATTTAGCCAATATGACCAGCATGACAGCCCCGAGGAGACCTGTAATTGATACAAGCAACGTCATAATCAGATTCTCTGACCCCGAAAACCCCCTTACTATATAAACTGTTATCATACTAGCCCTTTTCCTTTTGGAACTACACTTGACCTTTTACTCAAAGGTGGCAGCAATTTTGGATTTTTGATTTGACCAATATGACCGGCATGACAGCCCCAAGGAGACCTCAAATTGGTAAAAGAACATGATATTCAGATTCTATGACCCCGAAAACTCCATAAATCCAATTTGTATCATACTAGCCCGTTTCCTTTCGTAACTACACTTGACCTGTAACTCAGATGGCGGCTATTTTGAATGTGAACAATATTACCAGTATGACCCGAGGAGATCTCAAATCGATGAAAGAACATCATAATCAGATTCTCTGGCCCCGAAAACCCCCGTAAATGGATAAACTTTTATCATACTAGCCCATTTCCTTTCGAAACTACACTTGACCTGTAACTCAGATGGCGGCCATTTTGGATTTGACCAATATGACCAGTATGTCAGCCCCAAGGACATCTGAAATCAATGAAAGAACATTATAATCAGATTCTCTGACCCCCCAAAACCCTATAAATATATAAACTATTATCATACAAGCGCTTTTCATTTTGGAACTACGCTTGACCTTTAACTCAGATGGCGGCTACGTTGGATTTGCCCAATATTGCAGTCCCAGAGAGCGCCAAAATCTGCACCAAAATATCCCTAACAGCCCCCACTAATTATCTTATTTCTACAGAAAGCGAAACCATTTCAGATGGCCCTTGATGTCGGTTGTGGTACTGGTCAGCTTACACGGTCATTGGCTCCTTACTTTGATGAGGTTTTAGGAGTTGATGTGAGTTCTGCGCAGATAGATGTAGCAAAGACGGCTCAAAATCAAAAGAATATATCTTTCAGGTAAGATAAATTATACTTGTTACCATTTTATCAATAGGTTATAATCATTTATCATTTTCTTTTGTTTTTCAATTTAAGTTTCTTATTCAATACCTCCAACACCTTTTTTATACCTATTTTCATTCATCTCCAGCCGAAATATTAGGGACTTATGTGAACGAGAACGGCGCGAACATCCACTGATCATGTGTGTCTATGGCCCCGTTTTAACATTTATTCCGATTTCTTGATATCAAGAATTACCATTGCTTTACAACAGAACATCATTTCTTGATATAAATAATTATAATTGCTTTACAACAGAAAATCATTTCTTGATATAAATAATTACAATTGCTTTACAACAGAAAATCATTTCTTGATATCAAAAATTGAATTCGTGATATCAAGACGGGAATAAATATTAAAAACGGCTTGCCATAGACACGCATGATCAGTGGACGTCCGCGCCGTTCTCGTCCACTCAATCTAAAAGTCCCTATTAATGTTATAACTTGACAATTATCGGGACCATTAACCTCTCAATCCCGATGGTCCCGTTATTTTTTTTTATCTTATATGAATTCATTTAATGCACGATGTATTTTCCTTGAAATACTTTGTATATATTTCAATGTTTGCATGTTTTTTTAAACTGAAGAATGAAATGAAATGAACAAAAATGTAGGCAGCGTTAACGAGAAAGGCTATACATGTAGAATAAATACCTCCCCGTTGGTGAGGGTGTGCATTAGATTGCCTGATTCGTCCAAATAATCATGTAATAATGGATGAAGATTTAATGATTAATTTTTTTTTTTAAATATGCCCTTTTTGTTCCTTAAGAAACAGTAGCTGCTCCATGAGTTTACAAATCTCTCAGGAATGTCAGAGTATCAGTTTTGTCGTTCTCTCACTTTACGGTCCAAGAACTTTCTTTAGTCTGGTTCCACTCTAGTTGTCAAAGAAACGTCATTTCCATCTAGAAATTATTTGGAACTATAGGAGGAGGGATTGGTCCTTTGGTGGAGGGATTGGTCTTTTGGTGGAAGGATTGGTCCTTTGGTAGAGGGATTGGTCCTTTGGTAGAGGGATTGGTCCTTTGGTAGAGGGATTGGTCCTTTGGTGGAGGGATTGGTCCTTTGGTGGAGGAATTGGTCCTTTGGTAGAGGGATTGGTCCTTTAGTGGAGTGAATGGTCCTTTTGGTAGAGGGATTGGTCCTTTGGTGGAGGGATTGGTCCTTTTGGTAGAGTGATTGGTCCTTTTGGTAGAGGGATTGGTCCTTTGGTAGAGGAATTGGTCCTTTGGTAGAGGGATTGGTCCTTTAGAGGAGTGATTGGTCCTTTTGGTAGAGGGATTGGTCCTTTGGTAGAGGGATTGGTCCTTTGGTGGAGGGATTGGTCCTTTGGTAGAGGGATTGGTCCTTTTGGTAGAGGGATTGGTCCTTTGGTAGAGGGATTGGTCCTTTGGTAGAGGGATTGGTCCTTTGGTGGAGTGATTGGTCCTTTTGGTAGAGGGATTGGTCCTTTTGGTAGAGGGATTGGTCCTTTGGTAGAGGGATTGGTCCTTTGGTAGAGGGATCGGTCCTTTGGTAGAGGGATTGGTCCTTTGGTGGAGGGGTCGGTCTTTTGGTAAAAGGATTAGTCCTTTGGTTTTAGAATCGGTCCTTCGGTGGAGGGATTAGTTCTTTGGTGGAAGAATAGGACCATTGGTGGGAGAATTGATCCTTTTAGGCCCTTGGATTTTTAGATATGAAAGTTTGTTCAAATTGATCGTTGTGCCGGACAATACTTTTGGTAGGGTTTTGCGGAGAGCCTGTAGTCGGTACAACATTCAGCACCTTCTATTCGATAGCTCTAGCGTTGTGAACATCTTGAATTCAAAGTTATCAACACTATCTTTGTCGACCTGTTGATAAGGAGGGTTCATCGTGTCATTATGCTTGTCTGAAGATATTGTTAATAATCCGGAGGTTGCGCCCAACAAATCTATCCAAGTCCATGATTCATTGGAACAGACCGCAAAGTTATTCCTAAATAATATTATAACAGCTGATAACTCTGTCCAAGGAAGACGAGCATTATGACATACATTGAAAATATGACAAAGATAAATTTTCCTTTTTAATTTGTCTTTTAAAGTGTTGGTAGAGCTGAGGATTTACCAACGCCAGATTCCTCGGTGGACCTCATTACATCAGCCACCGCTAGTCATTAGGGGGTTTTCGTTTGTCACGTTGACATAGTCGACGTCTAATATGTGACGTCATTTCCGCGATCTGCGCATGCGTCGGGTCGTCTGGCGTCGTCAGGCCACATTTGCGAACCCGTTCATCGATGATTTGAGGTTCGTCAGAAAACTAGTGACCCGTCGTCAAAATGACGTCATCTTGCTACATCGCAGCGTAAATCAGAAAGTAAAAACAGAAAGAGAAATTGATAGAATGATTAAAAAACAAAGAATAACATAAGGAAAGACAGAAAAAAAGTGTGATAGAATGATAAAAACAAAGAATAACATAAGAGAAGATGATAGAAGGAAAAAACAAAGGCTAACATAAGGGAAGACAGAAAGAGAAGGTGAAAGAAGGGAAAAAACAAAGAATAACATAAGGAAAGACTGAAGAGAAAGTGTAAGAAGGAAAAAACAAAGAATAACATAAGGAAAGGCAGAAAGAGAAGGTGACAGAAGGAAAAAACAAAAAATAACATAAGCAAAGACAGAAAGAGAAGGTAAAAGAAGGAAAAACAAAGAATAACATAAGAAAAGACAGAAAGAGAAGGTGAAAGAAGGAAAAAAACCAAAGAATAACATAAGGAAAGACAGAAAGAGAAGGTGAAAGAAGGGAAAAACAAAGAATAACATAAGGAAAGACAGAAAGAGAAAGTGAAGGAAGGAAAAAACAAAGAATAACATAAGGAAAGACAGAAAGAAAAGGTGAAAGAAGGAAAAAACAAAGAATAACATAAGGAAAGACAGAAAGAGAAGGTGACAGAAGAAAAAAACAAAGAATAACATTAGAGAAGATGAAAGAAGGAAGAAACGAAAAATAACATAAGGAAAGACAGAAAGAGAAGATGAAAGAAGGAAAAAACAAAGAATAACATAAGGAAAGACAGAAAGAGAAGGTGAAAGAAGGAAAAAACAAAGAATAACATAAGGAAAGACAGAAAGAGAAGGTGAAAGAAGGGAAAAAACAAAGAATAACATAAGGAAAGACAGAAAGAGAAGGTGAAAGAAGGGAAAAAACAAAGAATAACATAAGGAAAGACTGAAGAGAAAGTGAAAGAAGGAAAAAACAAAGAATAACATAAGGAAAGACAGAAAGAGAAGGTGAAAGAAGGAAAAAACAAAGAATAACATAAGGAAAGACAGAAAGAGAAGGTGAAAGAAGGGAAAAAACAAAGAATAACATAAGGAAAGACAGAAAGAGAAGGTGAAAGAAGGAAAAAAACAAAGAATAACATAAGGAAAGACAGAAAGAGAAGGTGAAAGAAGGGAAAAAACAAAGAATAACATAAGGAAAGACTGAAGAGAAAGTGAAAGAAGGAAAAAACAAAGAATAACATAAGGAAAGACAGAAAGAGAAGGTGAAAGAAGGAAAAATCAAAGAATAACGTAAGGAAATACAAAAAGAGAAAGTGATAGAATGATAAAAACAAAGAATAACTTAGGAGAAGATGATAGAAGGAAGAAACAAAGAATAATATGAGGAAAGATAGAAAGAAAAATGATAGAATGATAACAACAACAATAACATTAGGAAAGACAGAAAGAGAAAATGATAAAGAATAGACAATGGAAAGATAGAAGAGAAAATGATAAAGAATAGACAATGGAAAGATAGAAGAGAAGATGGAAGAAGGAAAAACAAAGAATATCATAAGAAAAATAGAGAGAGTATAATAGAATAATAAACGAAGAACAAAATAAGAAGTGAAAGAAGGAGAAAATGAATAAGCGCGTGCGGGGCCATTACGTCATCGTGTAGAGAACGTGTGTCAACTTAAAACGAAAAGGGTTATAAGGTAGTGAACAGGACGGGTGTCTGACGTCAATTTGCATCGTTAGAGGACGTGAACGCCGTCCTGGTCCACACAAACGAAAAGCCCCTATTACTTCGACTGGACTGAGTTCAGGAAGGAAGTCAATCGCGTCCTCAAACCTAACGGATGCCTGGCTGTCTTAGCTTTCGACATCATTTACATCGATCATCCTGATGACGTCATCATGAAGAAACTGAATGATTGCATCGACTCATATCTTGACTATGTGAGTCTATGACGATTGCTCCACAAGCTGACATTTTTACTTCCTTTCCGAGCAGGGCTCAAATTAATTGTTTGTCCACGGGGGCTCTTTTAGTACTGACGGGGGCTATTTTTTATACAAATATCCATTGAATTGGTACCTATGATACTCCTCAATTATTTGCTATTTCATCATTATCATTTCAATCAGCATTTTCCCTCTTACAAATTTACAAGCAAAATAGCTGTTACTGGCCTGTGTATATAATATATACGCATACAACACTGATTTTTATGATGTCTTTAACGTGACATATCTTCTTCTCCCCTTGCAAACGAAAAAGAAAACATGGTCATTAAAAGGGATTAAGCGACAAATAATGATTGTGATTCAAATTGATGCGAATATTTGTTTGAATAAGCATTGCTATTCACCCGAATCTTCTTTGTAAAAACAACTTTTACAAATCTCAGCCATGCTTACTGAGTTGAGACGTTCCATTCAATTTAAAATGCCCATTACATAATACACTTCTCCTAATCTCAAAGTGATCTTACAGCACAGTGGCAGAATTGCATGGCTGAGATTTGTAAAAGTCGTTTTTACAAAGAAGATTCTGGTGAAAAGCATTACTTATTCAAAAAAAATCCTTGCATCAATTTGAATCACAATGATTATTTGTCGCATGGTCCTTTTATTAAATAACCTTGTTTTCTGTTTTGTTTGCAGAGGGAGAAGACGCTATGTCACGTTAAGAAATCATAAAGATCAGTTGTATTATGCGTATATACATATGATACCAGAACAAATGTTGATTATCAGAATGTCATTTTGGAATACCTCTATACAAATACCACATTGTCTTTAGCCCGTATCAGTATTAGTATGATCCAATGTGAAGCTATTATTCTTTATTTAATTCAGTATAATGCTTTTCCTCAAAAACAGTTTTGCTATTTTTTTAGGGTTGAGACGCTAAGAAATGGTTTCAAATGTACATTACACGAACCCTGAACCATTGCAAATGATGGTGGTTCTCTCTCTCTCTCTCTCTCTCTCTCTCTCTTTATTTTAATCATGCATTATCAACTACATATAAGGCAGCAACCAAAAACTTAGGGTTATCTGAGATAGGTGAAAGTAAGAGTTAAAAAGAAAGTCATGCTAAAACGGCGCTTCACTTCCCCCGCCCCCTGAAAAAAATAAAATAGATTAGTAGTCATCCTCTCTAGAATCCCCCTCCCCCCGCTTTAATATCACATTTTCACTTGGCAGCCCAACCCCCCCCCCCTGCCGTAGATCTGCCCATGTTACCATATCATTCCACGCAGGGGCGGCGATCCCGGGGGGGGGGGACGGGGGGGACTCCCCCCCCCCTCATTTTTTTTAGGGGGGGAATCGTCCCCCCTGGAAATTTGAAAAAGTGCAAAACAAATTGTATAGCATGTAATATGTGATCTTATACATTGACTCAATGCTACGTGCTATACACACATACACACAGTTAATGTACACTGTGGTGTATGGGCTCTTCTATACACAATATAACCAGGCATCCCGGAATGCAACCTAACTCTGATGTTTCTCTATGTGTCTTCATTTGAGTACTAACCATACAGCTAAACAACCCCACATTATATAGCATATACTGAATAATGACTGCAACACACTTTTAGGCTCTGGAAGGCCCAAGAGTGCAGCGTTTAGACTAATAAAATTGCAAAAAAAATCTCGCTCGGTCGCTACGCTCCCTCGCATAACATCCTCGTAAAAAAAAAAAAAATCGCATTTCGTCCCCCCCCCCCCCCGGTCATTAACAGAAATCGCCGCCCCTGATTCCACGACATTTTGGTCTTCCTCTTCTCCTCAAAAGGGACTTTTAGATTTGCGTGGACGTGGACGTGTTACGTCCTTTTAAGGCACTGGCAATCACATGTGACGTCCTTTTAAGCACTGGCAGTGCCTTAAAAGGAGGTCACACGTTGCAGTCCACGTTCTCATCGTGCAAATCTAAAAGTCCCTAATATTGATTTACTGGTCGAGGTTCATTATTTGCTGACAACGAAAAACTTCTCCAGGCCATGACCATGTTTCTGCCCTTGCCCGATCGCCTCCAGCTCCAGCAGACATGACGCGGCAGCGTGCACACGCACCTCTACTAACGGCGCAGTAGGCCTATAACCACTGCTGACGGCGGCACTGCACTGCGAGCTGAATCGGTAATAATAGGCCTACTCATAAAACGAGAAATCTTCACCCTAATCTTAGTTCCATTTCATTGGTTTAAGGTTTGAAAATTGAAACTCAATATTGTGTTAAAGTTATAACAGAAAAGATTATCTTTATTTTATAATTCCACCGGGGCGATTTTTAATTTTGCAATCGCCCCTGTGAGCAACCTGACGGGGGCGATTTTGTAGCTCACGGGGGCGAATCGCCCACTGCCCCCGTGTATTTTGAGCGCTGTTTGCGAGCAATGTTTACATTTCAAGAAATTTAATCTTTTCGATTTTAAGTAAATGGATAATTTTTAGAACAAAGTACGATAAAATGCATGGAGAATATCTTGTATTTTAGAACACTTTATGTAAGTTGTGAAAAGCTATTTAATCCTTAAAAACTTTATTACAATCGGTAACCCCTTTCCCCCGAAAATTATCATGGCTGCTTTCTAATCAGCTATGTTTTACATGATTATGATTTCATGATTGGATCCATGCATCTCTGTATGCAGACGAACAACCGAGATCTGAAGGCTAGCACACCAGTTGGCTATCAGCATATGAAGGAGAAATACACCACTCTGCAACTGCCGTTTGCTGACCAAAAAAGGTAAAGAACACAATCATATGGGAGGAATAACACAACCCAGCGTTGATGTAAACCTAAATTAGTGATTATGAAACTCTTGTTTCTTGTGTTTCTTGGGCTTCTCACATTACCCCTATTCTTCAAAAACTTCACTGGTTTCCTATCACTTCTCGCATCACTTACAACTTACAACTCCTTTCTCGATACACTCCTGTCCGGACTTTGCGATCTGCCTCTCAATCTCTCCTCTCAATCTCTCCTCTCAATCTCTCCTCTCTCGGTCTCACACTATTTCATAACAAACAATGCGGTCAATGTTTTTTCGTTTATGCAGCTACATTTCCTTGGAACGATCTCCCTCTTCAAATTGCAACGCTAGTTCTTTAAATAAATGCTAAAAACAATGCTAAAAACACGAATAGCCCCCTAAACTTTTGCCTTTTATATTTTGTAGATTAACGTTAGATCAGGGCATGTAAAGTCTCACCTCCCTGGTTAGATACTAATAATTTTTGAACTATTGGTATTTTGGTAGTTAGTGATTTGTAATTGTGAACATGTATTATGTTTATTTGCAAATTTGTAATGCTAATTGAATTGATGTCATTTGTAATGCTAATTGAATTGATGTCACTTGTAATGCTAATTCTGTTTCTTTTACTTATCAACTATTTTCCTTCCAAACCGCTTAGCCTTTAAGAGGCATTATGAAATTTGCGGTATAGAAATATCTTATTATTATCATTATTATTATGTCTCTCTCTGTGTCTCTCTGTCTCTCTCTTTGTCTCCCTCTCTCTCTCTGTCTCTCTCTATCTCTGTATCCCCCTCTCTCTCTTTGCCCCCCCCCTTCTCTCTCTCTCTCTCTCTCTCTCTCTCTCCCTCTCATTATCTTACTGCGCAGGGTGGATATTGACATACGATATAATGGTTCTGTGACCGAGTTCATCGAGTGTTATAAAACATACGCTGCCGCTATCAATTTCATGAAGGACAACCCTGGTACATCCTACTTTATGGACTTCCAAAAGAGGTATGTGTACAAAGGAGAAATCATGACGAGTATCATGTCAGAGACAGATTAAACACTTTCTAAAATATTTACTGCTTGCACTGACTACTCCTCCCGAGCAACAACTACATGTAGTTTGCTGGGACAGACGGTTGTCGGTCGTTCTGCATAACAGTGTCTGAACTATGAGACTACAATTATGCTCTGCACTTTCTCCGCACCTGACATAGCAGAGACTAACATATATAGGCTCTTCTAAAGGCTTTATGAAATGTGGTAAGGTGTCAATTTATAGTCTGTGTTTGCTGAATAGACAACAACCCCGAGGACAATACCATCCTGAGTCCTGACAACTAACCACTTGTCATGCTTAGTCTGCCACCACAATATCTACAGCCTTAAGCAGAGCCTAGATACGTCAGTTTCTGACTGTTTCAGGAGCTGCTAAAATACAGAGTCTTTGGTTGTCTCATAGCAACGATTGACAAGCTAGGGTTTTTGCCTGCACACTATGCCATGCGTATGGAAAACAGGATAATCGCTCTGCGGGAAAGTTATCCTGTGGTGATAGTTGTCCGGAGGATACTTGAGTTGGTTGTCCAAGTAATTTTCATGAAACGAATATTTTTCTATAACTATTACTCAAACGAAAATGCTTTATTGCTAGTAGGCCTGAATGATACACATGAATGAAAGTCCTTTTGAGAAAGAACATATTTGTTGGGGTGGTTTTAATAATTTTTTTATTGAAATTGTTACATCAAAACATTCTTGCAATATTTGTTATTTTAAATGGGCAGAATATTTGTTTTGAGTGTGCCGATTTCGGACATATTTAAAAGGGGGACACATGGTTCATGTGTTTATCTTTAACATTGGCTGTGATTTTGGCGTTTTCATGACATTTTTTCCTTTTTATTCTGCAGCATCATGACAATCCTAGGAGGAGGAGATCCTGATGTCACCATGGTTACATCATGGATGCCTATCTTTATACGATTTGCAAGAAAACCTGGCACTAACCTCTGAACATGTCCATAAATACAAGCTCTACCTTTCACAAATTCAGCGAGAAGTTTACTGAAAATTTTCTACACATCCCCTCCAGCACACATACACACTTTTTTCTTTTTCTTTTTCTTTTTTTTAATAGTTCTTTTTTTATTGATTCCAAACAATACAAATTAATTTTTAGAAATAAAGTACATTTTTTTTCCTTGACATAATTCAAAACATTTACATTACATACATTGTACAATTGATGAAAACAAAAATGAAATCAGTTGTATCATAAAACAAATAACCCCATCCAACCAAACACAAACACAAACCAAACTTTCCTAGGCCTACTAAATATCTCCCTACATACCTTATTTGAAAAATCTGAAAATTCCCGTCCATCATGAATCTTCAAGACAAATAAATTTTGTAACTTCTCTATAAAATATTCATAAACCTTCCTCGATAATACATCTCTGAGGAGCTTCACAGTATTGTTAAACTGCATTAAAATATCATACTCTTTTACATTCACTAAACTCCAGTTATCCTTTTTTCCGCTTCTCAAAAAAGCTTCCCCAATATTCCATACATCAACAATTTTGTTTCCTTTTAACCCCAAATTTTGAAAATGAGATATTGCCTGCATGCCATTTTCAGCAAAAATATCTTGAATAAAAATTACATTGCGTGTAAACAACTCCTCATTAAAAATCATTTTCTTTTTCAATAAGAAATCTTTATTGTTAAAAATAATTGGATTATTCTTTTCTTCAAAATTCCTAGAACCTTCTAACTCTTCCCATGCTTTGATCATTTCTAAATAGAACTTAGGTACTTTGAAACTGAATAACTTGGAATCATAGTTACACAAAAAAATAAATCTACCCCCTACCACCTTGAAGCAGAAATCAAAGTATAGCTTCCATCTCATAGATTTTTCTCCGTACAATAGTCTTTTCACCCACATTACCCGTTGGGTTTTTACAAACGTGTCAAAATTAGTCATTCGTAACCCTCCTTCATCATAACCTTGATACAATATTAATCTCTTAATTCTATCTTTCCCATTCCATATAAATTCAAAACATATTTTCTGTATTTCCGATATGACCCTCTTTGGAACCACTAGTGAAGCAAAAACGTAATTTAATTTACATAATGCATATGATTTTAATAAATGAATTTTTCCAAACACCGTAAGGTCCCTCTGTTTCCACCATCCGAAAAGTCTTTTTATCTTGCTTAAAATCTCCTTACATTCAATACACACACTCACACCACTTCCGTCATCTAACACACTAACACACAAACACACACACGCACACACACAAACACACATCCAGACAACCTATAGCAAGCAAAATAGGGCATTTATCAGAGGTGGTAAGGAGCAATTCTCGTACCTGAAAAGGAGCACTTATTAAAATTGGAAGGGGCGCTTATGTCAAAGGAATATTATTACAATTTCGTGCTTTCAGTTTTCTTTACGGATCACTGATTTTTCTTATAAAACTGAAGACATTGCGTATATATTCAGTACTGAATGAACGCCATAAAAGTATTACCATCAACAACAACAACATGTCAAAGGGATAGGGGCACCTCTCAGATAAGGAAAGCTGTAATTAGATGAGGTGAAGGGGTACTTATTATTATTTGTGTTTGTGTTCTTTAAAAACATGAATTTTACCTGTGAATAGTAATACTCCAACAAGGGAGCAACCTAAAGTTTTCAAACTAATATGTATAATCTTCTGGTAGTGATAGGTTAGATACATGTAGCTAAAGGTTTTCCATAGGTTTACACTTCCATAGTTGTATCTCTTTTTTTTTAATTCACTAGCTAAGTTAGGGTCAGGGCAGGATTGATTTGATTATTTTCAACAAAGTTTAAAATGTCAGATGTTCATTTAAACATTCTTATGTATACATTTTTCGAAATACATTTTCGATTTCATGATACAAGTATTTTGAAAATAACGTTAAATAAAAGCTATAGTAGATCGGCAGACTAATCCCAAATACTGTAAATTGTGTTCTTTTGTCAGAGGAACAGTTTTAGATGTGATGCTTGCTGTGGTTGCTATGGGAGGAATGCTATTTATGTTGTGTGAACGTTGATAGGATAAACAAGTTATGACCATGCACCTAAGCACGTAAAGGCCTGCGGCATAGTCTGGGCATACGTAACTGCTCTATGTTCACAAATTTCCGGATCAACTGTATAAATTAATATGACCAGGGCGTTTCATCAAACATTTAGTCGGTGGTTTTCACGACATCTTGTTCTCTTCATCTTCCTCTTCTTCTCAATAGGGACTTTTAGATTTGCGTGGACGTGTTACTTCCTTTTAAGGCACTGGCAGTCACATGTGACGTCCTTTTAAGCACTGGCAGTGCCTTAAAAGGAGGTCACACGTTGCAGTCCACGTTCTCAACGTGCAAATCAAAGTCCCTAATATTGATTTACTGGTCGAGGTTCATTATTTGCTGACAACGAAAAACTGACCATGTTTCTGCCCTTGCGCGATCGCTTCCAGCTCCAGCAGACATGGCGCGGCAGTAGTCTGCAAGCACAAACCCTGGTCAGTCGTAAAATTGAGTCTGCACTATAAGACTACCATAGGCCATGTACTGTAGCTGCTCCTGACAACCAGCAGGTAGCTGGGCTAGACTTCTCTCAAGGCGTAATGATTTTTTTTTATTAAGTGTCAGATTAGGGTCTGTGCCTGCAAACTAGCGCGGCAGCGCGCACATTTCATTAGTTCCATTTCATTGGTTTAAGGTTTGAAAATTGAAACTCAATATTGTTTTAAAGTTATAACAGAAAAGATAATCTTTATTTTATAATTCCACCGGGGCGATTTTTAATTTTGCAATCGCCCCCGTAAGCAACCTGACAGGGGCGATTATGTAGCTCACGGGGGCGAATCGCCCACCGCCCCGTGTATTTTGAGCGCTGAATATGACCCAGATGAAAACGCTTGTTTGTTCCATTACCTAAAACTGACCAAATCTTTAGATTAATATAAACAGAAAAGTTGGGCTATTCAAATTCTTAAATAATTTATGGTCTTTTAGTTTCATTCGTACACTAAACTCATGCAGAAACATCGATTAGTAAAAACACTAAATTTGCAATGCTTATTTGGGCTATAACAATTCTTAAACAATTCAGGCATATTCCAGACCCGCCCCCCCCCCCCCACTCAGTGTTATTTAGGGTACGCATATGCTCGTTCCCTCTTTTTGAAAGCACCCCCTATCTGAGGACTGCCAACATTTCCGAACCCCCCTTTCGCGGGCTTTTTGCGGGCTTTTCCTGCCTTGGAGACCCCCCTAAATCATGAAAAATGCTCAATGTACCCCCCTAAATTCGGAATAATTTCTTAGGAGTTCAAAGAGATGAGAGAAAAAAAGAAAAAACACCCCCTTTTTAAAGAAATCTCTGGGTGAAAAGTTAATACACCCCTTTTTTACAATTCTCGGGCCGGACTTTGTCGCACGAAAAGTACCCCTTTACCGGACATTTTTGTAACACGCATGGGGTCATTCCGACTCCGGAGTGGGGGGGGGGGGGGGGGCGGGATTCTAGACACTGTGAGAATCTCCATCTACAATCATCAGGGATAGTTGAGTTCTGTTGCAGAGGGCGCTACACACAATAAATTTTTTTGAAAAATGAAAAACTGAGTGTCAAATTTGAAAGAACATACAATTTAAATGACAACATTTTCACAAAATTGTGAGTTTCTTTTATTCTAGCGCATGCTTTAATATGCTTTAATATACCGATTTGATTAGACATGGTGATTTAATCACATTAATGCCTTGATACATTTCATTTTAATTTTTCTGTGTATCCGTTAGTCACTGCGGTAAAATCAGACATCAAAGCAAACAAAACAACACATTGATGAAATGAGCACGCAGTCGATCTTAAGAGTTTTTTTCTTCACATGTCGGAATCTTTAAAGCAACGGTGCTACTTACAGATTAAAGAGTCCTTGGTAATATTGAGTCCATGGTAAGTACAGATGTCCTCATCTCCATTATAATGAACTCCTTAACTCGAGGGGATCTTGAAAATCGTATTCTAACCCATTGCACTTTGCATCTAGTCACATCTTGATGCACAATAATTAACTTTTGTTTGAAAATATCAATTCATCTTTTATGGATTTGAAAGCACTTGTATATAAACATGTATATATATAAACATATATATGTGTACATTATTATATATATAACCCTTTTCCGTCTCTACACACAGAGAAATAAACGGTGTTCTTGGGGAGTCAAACGAAATTGGAAAAATAGGGCGCCCTCTATTACACCTTTTAGGGAGTAAAACACGGAAATACGTAAGGGTGTACAGAATAGTCATTTGAGGGGTGTAATTTTACACTCTATTTGAGTCAGACGAGTTCTGATTGGTCAAAGCATTTTTCTGTTGTGAGTGCATATGCGCATGCGCTACAGCAACGGCGCATCGTGTCGATAAAGGTACTGCCAAATCAAAAGGAAAATTAGCATAATTTACATATTTTAGTCATGTTGGGGGAATTATTATGTTTCATTTGGGCATATTATTTGTGTGAAAGTTATCTGATCAAGAAGAAGGGGTTTTACCCAGGCGCAAACGCAGGAGGGGGGGGGGGGGGTTGTTGGCTGTTGACCCCCCCCCCCCCCTTCAGTTTTGTTTATGTGTCTATTTTGGACCAAAACCCCCTTTTTTATTAAAAAATAAAAATTAAATAAATTATGCCAATGGCTGACACAAGAGGTGACCTCTATCCCCCTCCCCCCAACGGAAAAAATGTCTAATTTTCTAATTTCGAGACCCCCCCCCCCGCCCCCCCCCCAAAAAAAAAAAATGTTCCTTCCCCCCCCCCCCCCCCCCCCCCGCTTATTTGAACCCATTTGGAACCAAAAGGTGTTAATTAAGCACCATTTGGTGCAAATTTCACTCCTTATAGGGAGTTATTGAAAACAATATATAAACATGTATATGGGGGGTGCAAATTTATACCTTCTTGTGGGGTTTAAATTTACTCCCTACATTGGGGATTACATCTACTCCCTTAGGGTGTCACTTATGCGACAAGCATTTACTCCCTATAGGGAGTCAATTAATAAACCTCTTTTTCTCTGTGTGTATAGCCTTTCCCTCTCTCATTTTCGCTTCGCACTCTCTTTGTTTTTTTGTCTTTCGTTCTCTCCTCTCCCTTTATTATCCTCATTCCAACAACCACAACTACCACCCCAAACACCACCACCACCACAAAAAATAAAAAGGCACTCGTCATTATATTCAAATTTGTACGTTATGGTATAAAGTTGATATAGCGCTGCTGTATGGGCTTACCATTGCTACTAAACATTTACTACGTACAATGTGCTTTAATATGTAGGTTCTTTACACTTACAACGGAGACCGTGTAAATATCAGAGTCAAGTCTCGCTTTCTGCTTCCATTTATTTATTTAATCATTTATATTTACACAAGTGGGATGGAACACCAATATCGGAACGAGTGTTGGTTTTTATAGGTCTGTAACAGACAAAGCATTAGTTTGAACGCTAAATGAACACAGAAACCAAATTTATTTGAGGAAATATCATGATTAAATAAATCTGTTGATAACCATAGACATGAGAACACATTTGTCTTCATATGAATATTGAAAAAAGGAATTGAGGCGCGATGGATCAGTGGTAGATCAGAAGTCTCTTATCCGGGAGGTCCCGGGTTCGGAACCAAGTCGATGCGGTAGTGCCATTTGGTAGGGCATTAATCCTGATAACCAAGTTTCTCAGTGAGGACACAGTCATATGCATTCTGAGCAGTCAAGCAAAACAAATGAACCGACTAATTACCAATCAACCAATACACTCCATGTAAACTGGCAAAGATGCAAAGCAGAGGAACCACCTAAACAAGTACTTATAGGTTCATGTCAGGTGATACAAAATTGAGTACTTATTTGAATGACTACGTACAGGTACTTCGTTTGTCAAAAGTATTACTCTGATGTATATATATATATATATATATATATAAAATATATCGCAAATATATATCACAAAATAAAATATGTACAAATAAGTAGTATCCTTAAGGTATATATATAAGTGGACGAGTAGGGGAGAGAAAGAGGGGGATTAAGTGAGAGAGACATAGACAGAGACAGAGACAGAGACATATATGTATATATATATACATATATACAGTCAAACCTGCTTTAGTGACCACCTGTCTACAAAGATCAATTGTGCAAAGATGCAAAGCAGAGGAACCACCTAAACAAGTACCTATAGGTTCATGTCAGGTGATACAAAATTGAGTACTTATTTGAATAGCTATATATATATATAATGTATGTGAATTGTATTCATAGGTCATGCATGGCTATTTATGCTTCTATGTTTGTTTGTACTCTCATACCCAGAGAGGGGGTCAAAGAGTCAATAAATTTCTGCAAAATTCTACAAATATAAATAAATACATCGCAAATATATCACAAAGTAAAATATGTATATATAAGTAGTATCCTAAAGGTATATATAAGTAAATGAGTAGGGGAGAGAAAGAGAGAGATTAAGAGAGAGGTATTAAGAGAGAGGGAGAGAGAAAGAGAGAGGGGGAGAAGAGAGACATACAGAGAGAGAGAGAGAGCGAGAGAGAGAAGGGGGTGTGAAGAGTAGAGAGACGGGGGTAGGGGAAATAATGATCTCAGTAATAATTTTCAGGTGCAGATTGATCAAAACGTTGTGTGATATCATTATATATGTCACAGCTAAATTCTCATCAAGAAATTCAGTTGCGCCAACAATGAATGCACGTTGTTAAAGAGGCGTCATTCCGTTTGTGTTATTGAAGAAAAATCAGGGCGTGCACCTGATTCTAAGCAATGTTCATTTATCATTTTGCATTCAGCTCCCTCACGATGTCATGGCTTGTCAACGGTAGCGCCAACTGTCGCAGACGCATTCCTGCGTCAGCAAAGGACGCCTCGTCA